CTTTTCTGTAGTTGGCTCCAGCGTATTTCGTTGATACTCTGCTTGTGACAAGAAGTCGTTTTACAGTGTTCATTGATGACGTCTTTGATGGCATGAGCACTTACCGCAATGAAATGGACAAGGCCTTTGGACAGGCGATTAATTCAGCTGCTCAAATTGCATCTCCGAAATCTTCGTCTCTGTCTTCTTCTGTCTCTTCTGGCCGGCGAGTTCAAAATAATATATTTCCATAGTTGTCTTTTAACGACACGGCCTATAAGTCAGCAGCCTCTTGTGCTTAAGGAAAATTCACACATTCGAGGATGATTACCACCTAAAAGGTGATCACGATATCTGGGATTTTGAAGCTGCACTTCGTGTGCCGTAGCTATATTGTTCCTTTATGTCCCGAGTTCCTTAACTTTAATTGATTCGATTTTTAAAGTCGTTGGGGATACTGGAGCCTAGTGAGGTTTTCTATTTTTAATTAACAACTTTCTAGAAACCTTTACTCAACGGTCCTTGCTGGTTTTTTTAAAAATAGGATTATCAAAATTGTTCTTAGTTCAACTCCATTTCATTGACTCTCACGTGTGATTTTAAGTATTCACTAGCCATCGTTGTGAGGTGGAAATATGGGAACGGTTTAGAACCTCGTCCATTGAGCCTCATCGGATAGAGAAGGTGCCAACCAATGTGCCTTTCTCATTTTACACTCATTTTGTAGGAATCCTGTGCGCGCAGCTGAGTACCTTAGTCGCTATATGGATAGCCTGTTAAGAAGGTCCACCAAGCAGTACACTGAAGCCGAACTGGAAAATAAAATTGCCGCATCGATTAACCTGTTCAAGTATGTCGAGGAGAAGGACATTTTTAAACAGGTATAAAGTACCACATACTGCGCTAATGTAAAGACTGAAATAGAAAGGAACTCCAATTTCTCCTCTTATGTCCTACTAGGTTAAATGTAACATTTCATTCGTTTAAATCAGGTGACATAAAGTGGTTGTGCCCCGTGCTTTCTAACCCTCTCAAGGTCTTTATCGGCCAATTATAAGACTTTTAAGCTCTGTCGTGACTCATGAATGTGTGCATCCAGACTCATGTTACTGACCCAGCATGCTCCGCCCTTCAACAAGTGAACTTGGCGCCAACTGTGGGTAAATCTCGAGTTTGTGTTCAGTTCATTGGACTAGTTCGAAATGCAGACCAACTCGGCTTACACAAATTTCAAAATTTACCTTTTATTTCCCTTTACAGCAACATAAATTGGCAGTGTACGGAACATGTGAATTCCCATATGGTCACTCAAGCAGGCCATTAAGATTGTGAATTTCTGCGGCAACCAAAATAGACAAATTCTCGTTTCTACTTTTTTGTTTTCAGTATTATCAAAGGAATCTGTGCTATCGTCTACTTTTCGGTTCATCCACTCTGCTAGAATTAGAGGAATCAACGATAAATCAGCTCAACGCAGTCTGTGGCTACGAATTCACCTCAAAGTTCCAACGTATGTTCAACGACATTCAGTTAGCGGATGGGCTGAATGCTAACTTTCAAAGTTATCTTCGGGAGAAGAACCTTGCCTTTCCATTCGCTCACCACTGTCATGTTCTCACCGTAAGTCTTAGCGCTTTAGAAATTTTTTTCGTTCCTTCTTCACGTATTTACTTCCATTCAACAGAAACCTATACAGTATTATGTTAATTACATGTAGTCAGGAAAACAGGACACTGAAGGTACAAAATGACGTGTATTCTGTTAGGATTGTGAACCACCAAAATACAGACTCCTTTTCGCTAAATCCGATAGCTTTGCATCCTATAAGATTTTGTCGCGGGATAGAGGTTCATGTTCTCATTGGTATGATGTTTTCTGCAGTAAGGAACTTTACAGTCGCTTAAATTGAATTGTCGAGACAATTTAACGCACTTTTCCCCCGTACGCTGGTCCACTAACCGCATCAGGGCCTGGTACAAATAATGATCCCGCTATTGAACACGCTTGGCCTTCTACAAGCTAAAAATCAACGTTTTACTTAGATGGCCTACGAACCGCTCTTGGTCGTTTTATCTAGCTCATATTGACTATTCGCTAAGCTCAACCCGACTGCGCTTATCTGCGTCTCCTCTCTATTGACTCATATCCTATTTCGGTGCTTTGCGTCGTTTCTGGCCACAACAAATTGGCGGCCCCGCCATGAACAGTCAATGGAACCGACCTTAATCTAACGGCGTAAAACAACCTCCATTCCGGCAAAGTGCTGCTTCTAGTTGGTTCCCTGTTTTGTAAGCGCAATTTTACGGAGCTAACATCAGCAGTCATCATGCTAAACGCACACATCTAGCTTCGACCCTGACCAGTTTGTAAGCGAACAAAGTATTGGATGTATCGCTTCACCCCGACAAGGATGTATCTTACGGTCATTTGAAAGCTGAAATCCTTAAATGTACGCAGCTGTCGACATTCGAACGCGTAGAACAGCTCATGTATCGTGATGGGTTAGGAGACTTAAAGCCGACGCAGATTCTGCGGAGAGTGTGACAACTATCTAACGATGACACTTTGAATGGAAACTTCTGGAAAGTGTTTTTTCTGAAACGACTACCAAACATGGTCCAACCAATCCTGGCTCCCTTTGTCGAAGTGTCAACTCTTGAGCAATTGACAGACACCGCAGACCTCAGAGTAGAAGCGATCAAATCGACGCATTTCTCCGCAATCAACACTGGACGTCAAAAACAATCAAATGTTCCCTCGTCTGAAAACACATACACAGACCTCGCTGAAGTGAAGAACTGCCTAATCAAGATTGGAGCAACAATTGAAACTATGTGAATCAGACCTTCCCGAGCCAGAGGATATAACAAGTTATTTAATCAGAATCGCTCGCGGTCTCCTTGTAGGTTCTTTTCTCGATCATCATCTCGATATCCTTGTTGATACCACGAAACTTTTGAGGGCGTGGCCCGACGATGTAGGCCTTCGTGTAGCTTCAGAGCCTCAGATTCGCGCGCACAG